TGCTGCTCCACAGAGTAAGACATATCCTTGCTTCCTTCCGAAGTCGCTTGCTTAGAAAAAAAAAATTCCGTGGCAGGAATAATTCACCAAACAACACTTAGGAGAGAAACATCATGTCGACATTTCGAACCGTTTTAGGTCATTGTCAAGTCATGTCTGGGGCGTGATGCGACTTGACAGCGCTGGTGATTGGTGCAAAGTCACTTACCTAGTCATGGAACGGGCCACGGGGGCGTTGACCCCCAGAGTACCCTACAAGTATAGTTTTCCCTAGAGTAAAGCACTCGTTTGCTCCCTCCCTCTTAAAGCAGCCTACTTTACTGTTTTATCCAAACACTTCTGTGCTACTGTCCTAAAGTAGCCTACTTTACTGTTCCCCAGAGTAAAGCACTGCTGTGTCACTACCTCTTAAAGCAGCCGTAGCCAACTTTACTGTTACCTCCAGAATAAAGCACTCCTATGCTACTGCCTCTTAAAAGTAAGCCACTTTATTGTTTACCCCAGAGTAAAGCACTCCTGTGTCCCCCACCTCAGTACTCTCCTCCAGAGACACACATAAACAATGACAGAATTTCAGACTCGTCTCTCGAAGCAGACTGTTCGAGGTACCTTGTACCAGCTACTTCACAACTCGAAGGAGAAAAACAGTCAGAAATGTTTCACGCAGTGACGTTAAAATCTCGTGGGATTCTTAAAAAAGTTATATTGGAAGAAATACTGGGAGGTATATTTCGTAAATGGGAAAACTAAAGCCTCGTAAAGTTTAGGTTTTGTGGAGCAAAACGAAAGAAGGCTTAAAGTTGCTGACAGTGTTATGGAAGAATACGAGAGAGAGAGAGAGTGAGAGAGAGAGAGAGGAGAAGAGAGAGAGAGAGAGAGAGAGAGAGAGAGAGAGAGAGAGAGAGAGAGAGAGAGAGAGAGAGAGAGAGAGAGAATTGGAATTAATAATAGATATAAGAATTAAGCAGAATCATACTGAAATAAATGGATAAAAATAACAGATGACTAACAACAGATATGTGGGAATAACAACAGAAACAAGAGATGCATTGTAGGAACAACAGAAGTCTGGGAGAAACAACAGAAATAACAGAAGTGTGGCGGTAACAGAAGTGTGACTGCTAGGTCAACACGGGCAACAGGTGTTAGGAAACATGCTCAACGTTTCCTCCCTGGCACGAATAGAAACGTTGGGCATGTTTCCAAACACTAGTTGTCCTTGTTCACCTAGCAGTAAGTAGGTACCTGGATGTTAGTCACCTTACATCTACAGCCCCTGTTCACCTAGCAGTAAGTAGGTGCCTGGGTGTTAGTTGACTGTTATGGGTGGCATTCCACAGCAGAAAAGCTGAGGTACGACAACAGCTCAACCTGTAAAACTGATCTTCGTCAAAGAAAAGCGCGTGGGTGTAGCAACGATAGCGTGAGAATATCAACAATAGCGTGGGAATAACAATGGGAGCGTGGGAAAAAGGCAGTCAGACAGTCACGCATCGCCGGCCATCACGCAACACGCCTCAAAGCACGCGTCCACATGATATACAAGGGGGAGGGAGAGGGAGAGACAGAAGAGCCCAGAAGCGACCAACAAAGTCTCTGATGTTGATAAGAGTCGTCCTAGTGGGTACTTGAGCGTGTGGAGTGCGACTCTAATTGTCTTGTTTACCGCCTCTCTGCCTCCCACTCCCACTCCCACTCCCACTCCCACTCCCTCTCTCTCTCTCTCTCTCTCTCTCTCTCTCTCTCTCATTGTATTTCAGGCAAAAAACAACCGTCTTTCTCTCAGGCTATCAATATATATATATATATATATATATATAAATATAAATATATATATATATATATATATATAATATATATATATATATATATATATATATATATGCAAAACAACCACTCTGAAAGAATATTAAAGTTGTATTCAAAAATCTTGATACAGTAAAAAAACTTTTGATAAAGAATTCCCCCCAAAATGCTGATGGATGTGTCTATAAGATTCCTTGTAAAATTTGCGATAAAGTTTATTACGGTCAAACTGGTAAAAATCTCGAACTAAGATTAAAACAACATAAATATAGCATTAGAACTGGACAAGATTCCAATGCTCTATTTATTCATGTAAGAGATTTTAACCATCCAATTGATTTTCAAAAAGTTGAGAAAGTAGTATCAAGCAAGTCCATGGTCGACAGGAATATAATTGAATCTTGTTTCATAAAAAGCAGTTTTGACAATAATATGAATATTTCCTTTGGTTTATATAAATTAGATCCATTTATAATTAACAGAATTTGGGAAGAATTTAATAATACACTGGACAAATAATAATTTTTAAATTTTCTTGGGTAGAATAGTTTGTGGGTGAGTTGCGCAAAGGACCTATCCAAGTTGGGTCGGCGCGCGTCAGGTGTTTAACCGTTGTGGGATCTGATAGTGAGGTGCTGGCCAGACCCCTTATATAGCTTCCTTGGATGCTTTACTTTCATAGTTCCTTGATAATGTGAGTAGTCACGAAAGCGCTTGGAATTTCTCTATTCTTTCAGAGTGGTTGTTTTGCATATTCTGAAATCACCTGTTTACTGTGATCTTATTGCATATATATATATATATATATGTATATATATATATATATATATATATATATATATATATATATATAATATATATATATATATATATATATATATATATATATATATATATAAAGATTTAACACACGGAAGAATCAGTTCCTTCGTAAGACTTGTGAATAACAACTTCTTTATTCTGTTTTCGTATTTCGTTGCCTTTCCTACATACATTTCGTGCGTCAGGCACCAGTTGCTCTAACTCGCTCGACCCTGAAAATATCAGTTCGCTTCAGAGGACAATATTTCACCGGCGCTGATGACCGGGATGAATTGGAGACCGTAAGTGGGGCAGGAGATATTTGAAGCGGCTGTGAGGCACGTAAGATAAAGTTTGACGTGGGTAGGAGAGATAGGAGATAATTTCTGAAATAGGTGTGAGGAAAACAAGATGAATTGAACGAGTAGGAGGGGTAGAAGACGACATCTGGAGCCAGTAGGAGGGATAGAAGACTACGTCTGGAGCCAGTAGGAGGGATAGAAGACGACATCTGGAGCCAGTAGGAGGGATAGAAGACGACATCTGGAGCCAGTAGGAGGGATAGAAAACGACATCTGGAGCCAGTAGGAGGGATAGAAGACGACATCTGGAGCCAGTAGGAGGGATAGAAGACGACATCTGGAGCCAGTAGGAGGGATAGAAGACGAAAATCTGGAGCCAGTTAGGAGGATAGAGAAACGACATCTGGAGCCAGTAGGAGGGATAGAAGACGACATCTGGAGCCAGTAGGAGGGATAGAAGACATCTGGAGCCAGTAGGAGGGATAGAAGACGACATCTGGAGCCAGTAGGAGGGATAGAAGACGACATCTGGAGCCAGTAGGAGGGATAGAAGACGACATCTGGAGCCAGTAGGAGGGATAGAAGACATCTGGAGCCAGTAGGAGGGATAGAAGACGACATCTGGAGCCAGTAGGAGGGATAGAAGACGACATCTGGAGCCAGTAGGAGACATAGGATAATATCTGAAGTGAGGGAGAACACAGAGGTCTTCGAATTGGGTAGGAGGCAGAGAAATATTTGAATTGGGTAGGAGATATATAGAAGATCTTTAAATTGGGTAGGAGACAGAGAAGTCTTTGAATTGGGTAGGAGACACAGCTGTATGCCCTGATCTTGGCTGCTTGGACAATGGCGAACAATATAAAGCTGTCTCGTTCCCCATGTAATTAAAATGAAATAAGGAATAAGTAGCACTGCAGGAGGCCTACTGGCCCATGCTAGGCAGGACAAATTAACTATGGAACATAATTTTATTTTCACTTGTTATTATCCCACTAATTTACTCTTAAAATATAGACATGTTGCAGGAGGAACTTTTACTTTAATGAGGGGGAAACGCTAAATCCGTATGGGTCGTATAGCTCCTGAAGAATGGGATGCAAAAAAAAAAATAGGAAAGGGAGGATCTATATAGAGCTTCGTTAAATAATGCTTTGATAAACCTTTACACTGAGCGAAACGTTTCGTTTTCAGTAAGCGTGTTCTGAAACGTGTCTTTTCTCCACTGTACACAAATAACCCGCACATAGGAGAGAGAAGCTTAAAACGACGCTTCGGTCCAACTTGGACCATTACAAAATCACACTTGTAAATAGTCCAAGTCGGACTGAAACGTCGTAATAAGCTTCTCCACTATTGCAGACAGTGCGACATTTTGATCAAGTTACATCCCAACTAGTTGCGAGGAATGGGTGGATGGGTCCAATTACTTGGACTAAGAGCTCTTCACCAGCATCAAAGTAACCTTTCTCACACAGGGCAATCACACGGACGCAGACTACCAACCCACGTCAGACTGCAGTTCTCTTTTACAATTCCTTTATCGTCCGTGGCGCAGTTGTAATCTCCCTGAACGACAGGCAAGAAATTACATAGAGGTCTACACCTTCATAAATTTTCCCTCTTATTATTATATAGTTGTATACAGTGGTGGACCTGATTTTTTGATGTCCTGAAGCTTGAACTGCTATGGGGTGGGGGGGGCCTTCGCAACTCCTTCTCACATAGTAGACCCAAAAATTTTAAGCAATTTGGGCAAGGTCGCTTCTGGGGCCCTCCGGGATTAGGGGCCCCTGAAGCTTAAGAGGCACTTAAGTACCCCTGTCTTCTAATATTATGTTAATTTTTTCCACTATAATCTACTTTGCCCATAATTACTATCGCATTTGGTTTGTCTGTTTCGTAAGGTGAAGTCCAGGATCTTTCCTTAATTAATGGTATAACTTAACAAATGCTACAGTAATTATGGAGAAGGCATTACAATGGAAAAATGAACATGATATTAGAAGACAGGGATACTTACGTGCCTCTTAAGCTTAATTTGTTGTATGTAAGATCCGCATGGCTAACACTTTTCAATGTTTCATACAGGACTACTGCAGCACGGAGGGTTGGGACAACTTCCGCCAGAGTTACCAGGCTGTACACGGCTGTATGTCACTGGTGGTGTGCGTGTTCGGCTCAGTGGCCAACGTGATCAACATGGCCGTGTTGACCCGACGATCCATGGTGTCACCTACTAACGCTATCCTGACGGGGCTGGCGGTGACGGACCTGCTAGTGATGGTGGAGTACATTCCTTACACCATGCACCAGTACATGTGGCAGGGGCGCTCTCTCACGTCCAGGTACTCCTGGGGGTGGGCCGTCTTTGTCCTCTTCCATGCACACTTCGCCCAGGTTTTTCATACTATTTCCATCTGGCTGACTGTCACCCTGGCGGTCTGGCGCTACATCGCTATCGCCTTCCCTCAAAACAATACCACCTGGTGCTCCATGCAACGCACGCACGCCGTCAGCATAGCCGCCTTCTTCTGCTCCGTCATCTGCAACATTCCCAACTACCTCAACTTCACCATCAGTAAAATAGACCACAAAGGACATACACTTTACATAGTAAATTTCAGCCACTTGGCGCTGGCTCACGGCGGCTTTCTGAAGAGCATCAACTTTTGGATTTACGCTGTGATGCTCAAACTCTTGCCATGTGGAGCTCTCACTGGCCTCTCGTTTGCGCTAATCCAGGAACTTCTGCGAGCTGCAAGACGCCGCGCACAACTTATGAAAAACACATCAGGACGTGGCGCAGACGCTGAGAAGCAAGCCGACAGAGTCACTAAAATGCTGCTAGCCATTCTTGTGCTCTTTCTGGCATCTGAATTTCCACAGGGGATCCTGGGCTTGCTGACAGTAATCCCAGACTCCGGCTTCTTCCCCTGTTACCAGAAGTTAGGCGAAATCATGGACATGTTGGTACTCTTCAACAGTGCTATCAACTTCCTGTTGTACTGCGCCATGAGCCAGCAGTTCAGGGACACTTTTAGCGAGCTCTTCAAACCCTGCTGCTGTGTCTCCCTCTTGGCTTTAAGGACCCCGAAACCCAAGGCAAGCTGGAACGCGGTACCCTCCTCTACTGACCCGGGCACAGAAAGCAACAACACCTGTATCACACATGTCTGAAACTCATAATCCCCGCCCTGAGCGCCTAGAAATTTTTATCACATTGGCAAAAATAGATCATCTGGAGTCTTTTAATGGAGGAAAGCTAATGGCAGGGAAAGGAAATGGGAAGATTGTCTTCAAGTGCTTAAAAAAAATTCAATATTTTATAAAGAAATTTAGATAATGAAAGTAACAGCAACATTTGTATGGCTCATGTCTTGAATCGTGCTGTGAACATCCAAAGGAGGAGCTTTCTCCCTCCTTTTAAACCCTTGAAGCAACACTCACACATTACTTGCCTGAATGGGACACTTCCTTTAGACACTTCAGAATATTCAGAGTCACTTATGCATTTACATAAAGCTTTATATGTTCCTTTAAGTGAAAATATCTGAATGTTACGACTCTTGTCTGAGTCATGGACACGCAACATTACCTTCGTATTAAATATTTCCTGAATCGCAGCCTCTCAACAACAGACAGTAGTATTAACGTACCTTAAACAGTGGTTAACTGACTTAGATATTTCTAATGCGCACGATGGGTCCCCTCTTTTCTGTTCATGCGTCAGAGAGGGTGACCTAGTACCAGGAATGGTGAAACACGATCATCCGTCCCCTAGTAGCTGCCCTAGTCTCTGGTCTCTCCTGACCAGACAGGATGTAGATGATCGCAATTTGCCTACGATGGATGACATGCGTGTCTGCGTTATCGCAGATAAATGAGGACATACACTGCAGCACCCGTATGGTCTTAAAACATCACTGTTCATTTTAATACCTCAACTAAAACAGATCGGAAGTATTACATAGAAAACTTGCTCCTTCATTATATAGACAGGGAGAAGATACATAGAAATTCCCTGTTTTACAAAGAAAAATGATGGTAAACCAACAGCTTGTCTTTGAATAGTTATACAAGAAATGTTATTCATATTACTGATACTTTTTCTGACCTAGACGAGACTTAGTGTTTATACACTTCACCAGACAGCCCGTCCAGTGAAGTGCTTTTAATGATGGTAAAGGGCTCTAAATCCAAGCAGTCCGATTTATCCTCTCCTTCCTTGTGCGGAATCTCATCATGATGAAGACTCATCGAAATTATGATGATGATGATAATAATAATAATAATAATATACTAGTGAGCCAGGCCTTCACCAGTGAGCCAGGCCTACACCAGCGGGCCAGGCCAGATTGCAATGCTCTTCTATCAAAAAAAAAAAGAAACCCAGCGTAGCTCTAAGCTGCCTCATAGCTGGTATAGCTTTAAAATATCTAGTCATTAACTATATTAGTTCGACTATTTAGACGATATATACACGCCAAAATAAATGTGTCTAAGGCACACCTGGAACAACGAGGAGAAAGCGGCTGCGAACGCGTTCAACCTATTCCAGAACTCTGAAAACACAGGGGAATTTGGTTTTAAATGCATACAAAACGCATGCGAATGTCACTGAAATGTGTTGGACGCACATAACATTATGGAAATGTGTTGGAAAAGTGCGCAGGAAATGTCCTTGAAAGAGTCCTCTAAGTGTCAGGGAAATGTGTTATGGAGTGTAATGAGAGGAAAGGCTGACCAATTTTTCTGAGTATAAATTAAGATGTACCCGCTGCCAGAGGTGCAGACAGTAAACTGCTGCAGGCGTTCTTGGTGGTGGATCCGGATCTTGGATATGGATCCGGATCTTAGATATGGATCCGGATCTTGGATATGGATCCGGATCTGAGATGTAGATCCGGATCTGGGAGATGGCTTAGAATCTTAGTGAAGTGTTAGATTCCTGATGATACATTAGAATTTTGGTGATATACATGAGAATCACAGAGAGAGATTAAGAAGTGTAGTGATGGATCTGGATCAAGTGATGATTGCATGTTCCAAAATCCGAGTGGAGTGAGGAAGAAAAACAAGGAAAATAGGAATTTTAATTCTGTCAGAACAAACAGAAAACTGATAATACACACACACACATATTATTAATATATATATATAAAATATATATATATATATATATATATATATATATATATATATATATATATATATATAATATATATATATATTTGTCGTGCCGAATAGGCAGAACTTGCGATCTTGGCTTAAATAGCAACGCTCATCTTGCCATATAGGACAAGCGAAAATTTGTGTATGCAATAATTTCGCCAAAATCATTCTTAACCTAACGAAAAAAATATATTTCACTGTGTTTGTTTAGTATTAAATTATTGTAAACAAATCTAAAATATATTTAGTTGGGTTAGGCTAAAATAAATTGCGCTTGTTATAATAAGGTTAGTTAAGTTTTCTAAGATTCTTCTGGTGCAAAATTAAAATTTTTCACATTAACATTTATGAAAAAAATATATCTTTAAACGTATAAGAGAAAATTTTAGAAAGGACTTTATTTTAAGTGAGTACTGCTAATTGACCAGTTTTACATATTCGTCACTACATATACATATATATATATATATATATATATATATATATATTATATATATATATATATATATATATTATATATATTATATATATATATATATATATATATATAAAGATCACAGTAAACATGTGAAATCAGAATATGCAAAACAACCATGGTGAAAGAATAGTGAAATTCCAAGCGCTTTCATGACTTCTCACAATCATCGAGTGAGAACTCACGAAAGCGCTTAGAATTTCACTATTCTTTCAAAATGATTGTTTTGCATATTATATATATATATATATATATATATATATATATATATATATATATAATATATTATATTATATATATATATATAATTTATTATTTATTATCACACCGGCCGATTCCCACCAAGGCAGGGTGGCCGAAAAGAAAAACTTTCACCATCATTCACTCCATCACTGTCTTGCCAGAAGGGTGCTTTACACTACAGTTTTTAAAACTGCAACATTAACACCCCTCCTTCAGAGTGCAGGCACTGTACTTCCCATCTCCAGGACTCAAGTCCGGCCTGCCGGTTTCCCTGAATCCCTTCATAAATGTTACTTTGCTCACACTCCAACAGCACGTCAAGTATTAAAAACCATTTGTCTCCATTCACCCCTATCAAACCGCTCACGCATGCCTGCTGGAAGTCCAAGCCCCTCGCACACAAAACCTCCTTTACCCCCTCCCTCCAACCCTTCCTAGGCCGACCCCTACCCCGCCTTCCTTCCACTACAGACTGATACACTCTTGAAGTCATTCTGTTTCGCTCCATTCTCTCTACATGTCCGAACCACCTCAACAACCCTTCCTCAGCCCTCTGGACAACAGTTTTGGTAATCCCGCACCTCCTCCTAACTTCCAAACTACGAATTCTCTGCATTATATTCACACCACACATTGCCCTCAGACATGACATCTCCACTGCCTCCAGCCTTCTCCTCGCTGCAACATTCATCACCCACGCTTCACACCCATATAAGAGCGTTGGTAAAACTATACTCTCATACATTCCCCTCTTTGCCTCCAAGGACAAAGTTCTTTGTCTCCACAGACTCCTAAGTGCACCACTCACTCTTTTTCCCTCATCAATTCTATGATTCACCTCATCTTTCATAGACCCATCCGCTGACACGTCACTCCCAAATATCTGAATACGTTCACCTCCTCCATACTCTCTCCTCCAATCTGATATTCAATCTTTCATCACCTAATCTTTTTGTTATCCTCATAACCTTACTCTTTCCTGTATTCACCTTTAATTTTCTTCTTTTGCCACCCTACCAAATTCATCCACCAATCTCTGCAACTTCTCTTCAGAATCTCCCAAGAGCACAGTGTCATCGCAAAGAGCAGCTGTGACAACTCCCACTTTGTGTGTGATTCTTTATCTTTTAACTCCACGCCTCTTGCCAAGACCCTCGCATTTACTTCTCTTACAACCCCATCTATAAATATATTAAACAACCACGGTGACATCACACATCCTTGTCTAAGGCCTACTTTTACTGGGAAAAAATTTCCCTCTTTCCTACATACTCTAACTTGAGCCTCACTATCCTCGTAAAAACTCTTCACTGCTTTCAGTAACCTACCTCCTACACCATACACTTGCAACATCTGCCACATTGCCCCCCTATCCACCCTGTCATACGCCTTTTCCAAATCCATAAATGCCACAAAGACCTCTTTAGCCTTATCTAAATACTGTTCACTTATATGTTTCACTGTAAACACCTGGTCCACACACCCCCTACCTTTCCTAAAGCCTCCTTGTTCATCTGCTATCCTATTCTCCGTCTTACTCTTAATTCTTTCAATTATAACTCTACCATACACTTTACCAGGTACACTCAACAGACTTATCCCCCTATAATTTTTGCACTCTCTTTTATCCCCTTTGCCTTTATACAAAGGAACTATGCATGCTCTCTGCCAATCCCTAGGTACCTTACCCTCTTCCATACATTTATTAAATAATTGCACCAACCACTCCAAAACTATATCCCCACCTGCTTTTAACATTTCTATCTTTATCCCATCAATCCCGGCTGCCTTACCCCCTTTCATTTTACCTACTGCCTCACGAAACTTCCCCCACACTCACAACTGGCTCTTCCTCACTCCTACAAGATGTTATTCCTCCTTGCCCTATACACGAAATCACAGCTTCCCTATCTTCATCAACATTTAACAATTCCTCAAATATTCCTTCCATCTTCCCAATACCTCTACCTCTCCATTTAATAACTCTCCTCTCCTATTTTTAACTGACAAATCCATTTGTTCTCTAGGCTTTCTTAACTTGTTAATCTCACTCCAAAACTTTTTCTATTTTCAACAAAATTTGTTGATAACATCTCACCCACTCTCTCATTTGCTCTCTTTTTACATTGCTTCACCACTCTCTTAACTTCTCTCTTTTTCTCCATATACTCTTCCCTCCTTGCATCACTTCTACTTTGTAAAAACTTCTCATATGCTAACTTTTTCTCCCTTACTACTCTCTTTACATCATCATTCCACCAATCGCTCCTCTTCCCTCCTGCACCCACTTTCCTGTAACCACAAACTTCTGCTGAACACTCTAACACTACATTTTTAAACCTACCCCCATACCTCTTCGACCCCATTGCCTATGCTCTCATTAGCCCATCTATCCTCCAATAGCTGTTTATATCTTACCCTAACTGCCTCCTCTTTTAGTTTATAAACCTTCACCTCTCTCTTCCCTGATGCTTCTATTCTCCTTGTATCCCATCTACCTTTTACTCTCAGTGTAGCTACAACTAGAAAGTGATCTGATATATCTGTGGCCCCTCTATAAACATGTACATCCTGAAGTCTACTCAACAGTCTTTTATCTACCAATACATAATCCAACAAACTACTGTCATTTCGCCCTACATCATATCGTGTATACTTATTTATCCTCTTTTTCTTAAAATATGTATTACCTATAACTAAACCCCTTTCTATACAAAGTTCAATCAAAGGGCTCCCATTATCATTTACACCTGGCACCCCAAACTTACCTACCACACCCTCTCTAAAAGTTTCTCCTACTTTAGCATTCAAGTCCCCTACCACAATTACTCTCTCACTTGGTTCAAAGGCTCCTATACATTCACTTAACATCTCCCAAAATCTCTCTCTCTCCTCTGCATTCCTCTCTTCTCCAGGTGCATACACGCTTATTATGACCCACTTCTCGCATCCAACCTTTACTTTAATCCACATAATTCTTGAATTTACACATTCATATTCTCTTTCTCCTTCCATAACTGATCATTTAACATTACTGCTACCCCTTCCTTTGCTCTAACTCTCTCAGATACTCCAGATTTAATCCCATTTATTTCCCCCCACTGAAACTCTCCTACCCCCTTCAGCTTTGTTTCGCTTAGGGCCAGGACATCCAACTTCTTTTCATTCATAACATCAGCAATCATCTGTTTCTTGTCATCCGCACTACATCCACGCACATTTAAGCAACCCAGTTTTATAAAGTTTTTCTTCTTCTCTTTTTTAGTAATTGTATACAGGAGAAGGGGTTACTAGCCCATTGCTCCCGGCATTTTAGTCGCCTCATACGACACGCATGGCTTACGGAGGAAAGATTCTTTTCCACTTCCCCATGGACAATAGAAGAAATAAAAAAGAACAAGAGCTATTTAGAAAAAGGAGAAAAACCTAGATGTATGTATATATATATATGCATGTGCGTGTCTGTGAAGTGTGACCAAAGTGTAAGTAGGAGTAGCAAGATATCCCTGTTATCTTAGCGTGTTTATGAGACAGAAAAAGAAACCAGCAATCCTACCATCATGCATATATATATATATATATATTATATATATATATATATATATATATATATATATATATATTGTGTGTGTGTAATGTAATAGTCCCTTCCCTCGTAAATGTTTATTTTATTATGTAACAAAAATAGAAAAAACACTCATAATAGCAAAAAAGTGTAAAAAATTTGTATGTATATGAATGTATTTTAGAGAATCTTTAATCAGTGCTAGCCTAGATAATATATATATATATATATATATATATATATATATATATAAAATATATATATATATATATATATTTTAGTGGAACTAACCTCTACATATTTTATGTATTCAATTGAAAAGGCCATAGCTGAATTATTTTTTAACTCAATGCTATGTAACAATATTTGTGTCAGTACACATGAATTACACACAAGATATACCATGAAGTACACACAGAAGTACACTATGGAATACAACAAGAAGTAACAGTGGAGTACACACAAATACAATGGAAGTACTCATCAGAAGTACACACAGAATACACATGGAATTTAATTTCCACTCATAAGTATGAATACAATAGTGTCAGTACACATGGATGTACACACAGAAGTACACATGGAAGTACACACAGAAGTACACATGGAAGTACACATGAAGTACACACAGAAGTACACACAGAAGTACACACAGAAGTACACACAGAAGTA